GGGACAGCCCCCCCTCCAGGGCTGCGCGGGAGTCCGGCGGGGGAGAAGCGCTGGGAGTGGAAATGTACCGGCGGCTGCTGGAGCGGCGGGTGCGCGCCCGCGGGGCGACGGCAGGGGGCGTGGCCCTTGTTTACCTTCTCCCAACTCTGCCGGTTCGCATCCCGCTCCAGGGACGATTCTGCAGTCCCCTGCCCACCGTCTCCGCCCCTACGCCCTGGTGATACCGGGAAGGTGTAGGCAAGTGGCGGCCCCGGCCTGGGACAAATACACCTGACCCCCATATGAGTGACACTGCAGCCCCCGCCCCCACCAAGCACCGCTGCAGTCCCTCTCCCGGATCCTCGGCCCCGCCCCGCCCCCGGCAGTGGCATCTTCCCGGCTTCACCTCCCTTCCTCCTTCTCTCCCTCCCTCCTTCCCACCCACTCGCCTGCGCCTGCGGAGCGGCTCCTGCCCGCCTCCTCCCCGCCTGGGTGCCGACTTGTGGCTCCCTTCGGTCCCTTCTCTCTTATCCCTGGGGTCTGAGACACCCTCTTCTCCAGGCGAAGGGATGAGAGGGGGTCAGCTTGGTGATTCGTAGCTGTTATGTCAGAAAAGGGGGATGCCTGTCTCACTATAGCTTCTAGAGGCCCAGGACAACCCCCCAGCCCCGCACACACACCCTGTCCCCCACCACACACAGCTGCCACCCACCAAGGGCTTCGCCGCCTCCACCTGCTACGCCTAAGCCCCCAAGGCGTTAAGCCCACCTCCCGGCGCCACTCCGGGCCCGAACCGCCTCTTGCCCTTCCTTCGCCTGGGCCGGAGCCCCCCGCAGCCACCTCCGGCTCCTCCTCCCAGCTCCCGCGGTCGGAATCACGCCGGCGCGCCTCCAGCTTGCTGTCCCGCGGACTTCCTTTAGGGGCAGGCTGGAGGCGCGTGCCACCCCCTTTCCAGTCTCCTTGGCCTCTACTGCGGGCCGGGACGTTTTTCCTGAGCACCTTGGCCGCAGGTCTCTTGCCCTGTGCTGATGGGGGCGGGAAGGGGTGTGTTTCCCTTTGCTCAGTCCCAAGGGCACGCTGCATCCGGCGCCTCTGGTCTCTGCAGCTTTCCAAACCTTGTCACCTCACTTAGCATTCTCTCCCACCCCTTCACCTCCCATCTACTGCAGTATTCCAAGACAAAGTTTCATATAGGTTCTGAGTGTGCAGGGGGTCATCAGGAGGCATCATGATTCTGAGCAGTGCCAAGGGGAATGGGGAGGAGCTGAGTGGGCATGGCTGACCTGCTGTCCTGCCTTGGTTGCAAGGGAAAGGAGCCCTGAGCTTTGAGTCTAGACAGGCTGTCAGGAGGTCCCCTTAACACTTATGTTTGCAAACTGAGTCCTGAGCCTGGGTAGTGGTAGGGCCACCTGGCCTCTCCTCCCAGGGTGGCATTTACTCCCTCCCTTAACTGGTAAAATTCCCAGTAGGGCATTTGGCAGAAGGGCTGGACAGAGAGCTGCCAACCCAGCCTGGCTCTGTTTCCTGGGTTCGCAGGGTGCTGGCTTCTCCCCTACACTGACTTTCTCTCCCACCTTAGGGCCCCAAGTGAAGGCACCATCCCTCCTGTCCCATCTTCCTCAGGCGGGTTGGGACTCGTAGAATGATCTAACAAGCAGAGGAGAAAAATAACAACAGAATAACTGTAAGGGGAAGGAATGAGTAATAAAGCCAACCCAGGCAGGGAGGAGGGCTTTCATGTTTAAGAGATGCTATTTGCTTTTTAGGTCACAGGCTGCAAAAACAGGCTTTGATCCGAAGTGGGCGAATAATTTATTGAGAAAGTTTGCATGGTAGGGAAAAAAAGGAATGTTTGTTTGATCTGGAGGCCTCTCAGTTGTCCCAAGTGCTGTTGGCTGTTGTTTAGAGTGGAAAAGCATTTGGTTCCACAGCAAATGCCTCGCCGAGGGAAGTCCTCACCCCAGGCAGCAAGACTTGCAGTGAATGTTGGTTTTGAAACTGTTTAGCCCAAGGTCTCCCCAGCACTTTTGGAGATGAAGTGTTTAAGGATAGAGTTGTTTAGGCTCAGGATGCAGCAAGTGTTTCCAGAACATTTCCCATCCAGTGTGCGTTTCCTTTCCCTAAACTGCCTGGCTAAATGACCAATAACACTGATCCATGAGGCTGTCAGAAATATCTGCTTTGCTTTCATGGACAGGTGAGAGGTGGGACTGCTGATCCCCAGCTCCTAGATTCCCCCTTGCCCCTAGTCTTGAGGGCATTGATTCCCACATCGCTAAGGTTGGGGGCAGGGTATGCTGGTTAATTGGTGTTCCAGGTTCAGGAAAGTATTTGTCTTATACCCAAAACCCAAGTCAGAGACTTCTAGTTCAGATTCTTCACAGTTCATCCAGCAGGTTCTTTGTGACCACACAGTCTTCCCTTTAAGTTCTCTGAGGGGAGGCCAAGTCAGAGTTTTGAGGAGGGGACTACCTGTGGCTCTCCCTGTCGTTCACACAGGACCCTTACCATGTGTCTCAAAGATTAGGAACCCAGGAAGGTTTTCAGATGCCCCATAGGAATCTGGAGTACCCCAGCCATACTCTGGAGTTGTAGGCCTGTGCACTGTACATTGTAGCCCTGGGGTGGGGTATACTATTTGATGTCAGACAGTCTCGGTTTGAATGCTGGCTTTGCAGCCACCAGCTGTAGCAGTTGCTCTGTGCCTCAGTTTCTTCATCTGCAACTGGGGTCAATAACAGTACCTACCTCTTGATGGGTGTGTGGATTAAGCACTATGTTGGTAAAGATGACTACGCCCCAAGTCAGGCATGTGGTAAGCACTCGATTAGTATTAACCATTCTTACTATTATTATTAATGACCTGGGTAGGACCTAAATGCAGCTGACCTTTGATCTCTCCCCTTTAGGCTAGACCAGAGAGCCAGTTCCCTTCTCTGAAGAAGGAATCAGAACAACTCTGCAGTTGCCAATGGGCAGCCATCTGTGGGAGCCAGCAGACTGAGCTTTGGCCTCTCTGAGGTGGAGAGTAGGGTGAGAAGGTGCTGAAGGACAAAATAGACAAAGCCCCTTTCTGTCTCCCAGGATCCCCTTGGTATGTCCCCAGAACTGGGTCTGGAGGGTGGGGGAGGGCAGTGTGTCTAGGGGAGTTGGATGCCCCCTATCTCTGGGACACTTGAAATTGCAGGTGGGCAGTAATGGGTGTTGGAGGTTCCCCCATCCTGGGAGAGGCAAGTTTAAGGATTTGTGTGTACAAAATCATTTTTGTCATGTGGTTACTGTCCCTGAGAAGGCATTAAAGTTAATGAGAGATAGAAAAGAGTGGGGCTCTGACCCCCGTTTAAAACGGTTTAAGAGCGTGCAGCTCTTGTTTTCTGAATGTCTGGCCTTCCCGACACAAGCAGGCTCTAAGGACAGGTTTTCCAGCCGAAATATCATTAAATTGTATTAGCATCTTATTACACACACGCCTTAGCGGTCTGCCTCAGACAGGGAGAGTTTTTGTTTCTTTTTGAAAGATTGTGTCTGGAATGGTAAATTGCCTTCTTGAAAGCCCTTTCCCCCCCTTTTTAAGGAGGAAGATGAAATCCTGCTGTGTGTGGTGGTGGGCAGGGCAGGCCTGGTGGCCTCCAGAGAGGAGAGGCCGGAGGCCAGGTTGGGGTGTTTTAACTGCCCAGGGAGCTGCTGCAGTAGCAGGCCTGAAAGGCCCACTGTTTCCAGGGTCAGCTGGAAGGGCGTTAATGGAGGCCCAGGGTGTTTATTTGAGTTTATTTGCGGAGAGGTTTTTAAAGGGGGCTGGCATTGGCATTGGTGTTTCAAGTCCAGGCCCGAGGCCCCCACTAAAACCATTGGCTAGTGATGCCAAGAAAACATCTGCCACCAAATTGCTGCCCTATTACTGAGTTGACATTGATCATTAGCCAGGAGCCCAACCAAATAAAGCCTCCTGGAAAATGTGTGAGGTTAAGATGAGGAAGGCGGACTATGCAAACAGGACGAAATCTTGGGCTGGGGCGTTTGCTCCTGCTAGCTGGGGGCAGGCCGCCTGGGCTGTGTGACCCCACACTTCTAGCAGGAGGAGACAAGAACACACTCCATTTGTGCTGAGCCCCTGTTACATGCTGGGTACAACTCAAGGGGGCACTGGGGCTCCGGCAGGGATCCGGACAGTTGTGCTTTTTACTCTGATGCAACATACATTCCCGAGGAGAAGGACATTCAACAGGTAGATCAACACACAAATTGTGATGGATTCTCCGAAGAAGCAGAATAACGGGGTGGTGGGCTTTTGGTAGATAAGGCAATTGCCATAGACCTCTGTGACATTTAAGCAGAAACCTGATGGATGAAAAGTCAGACATGCCAAGACTACATAGAACGTTTCAGGCAGAAAGCACACTTGTGCACAGATCTTGAAGCAGGGAGTATTTGGCTTGTTTTAGGAACTGAAAGGAGGCCGACTTGGCTGGTAAATGGTGAGGAAAGGGGATGGTTCTTGATATGCAATAAGGAGGGGCCAGATCATGTAGGGTCTTATGGTCGGAAGTTTGAGTTTTGTCCTTTGATCAGCAGGAAGCCTTTGAAAGATTTTAAATAGGGCACGACATGATCTGATTTATGCTTTTTGAAGATCATTGTGGCTGCTGTGTGGATCCTGTATTATGAGGGAGTGATAGTGGAAGATAAATGAGGAGTCCTGCAAGAAATGAGACTGGCTCGGACCAGTGTGGTAGCAGTAGAGATAGGGGAAAGATGGCTGGATTCATGGTGTGTTCTGGAGGGGGCACCCCCTGGACATGTCACAGGTTGGCAGTGGGGTGGAGGAGGCACAGCCAGGCTGTGGGCTGCTGCTCCATTGAGGGGACTCTGGGAGACCCACAATCCCAAAGAGGAGCTGTCTGTGTCTCCATGTGGGGAATGGTGTGGGAGTGCAAGTGGGCCGATGCCACTGGTAGGAAAAGGGGACCCTTTCTTTCCCAGAGTTTCCTTTGTAGGTAGGGTTTCAGGAGGACTTTCTGTCCCTAAAAGCAAGTGCCTGGTGACACTTGAGGTACTCTCTCAGAGCAGACCTTGGCTTAGGGAGAGATTGGAGGAGCCAGTGGAAGGGGAAAACCAGAAGCCAAAATCAAGTCTTAGCACCCCCATGCCCCATCTATCTGCATGTACATCCCTGAATTTCAGCTTTGGTAGAAGTGTCCTCCCTGATCTCCTTGCTGGGCTGGAGAGGGGTTCATGGGACAAAGGGCTGTCCCACAGGGGGAGCCCAGGACTCATTTGGGGCTTTATTAGCCACTGACAGTAGAGGTTCACCTGAGGTAGGGACAGACTTGGAACAGACTTGGTTCAAAGGAAAGAAGCAAAATAGTGGCTCCCTCTGAAGCCTAGTTATTATTCCAATTAAACCGCCACTAAGTCTGCTCCTTTAATAACACTCTACCTAAGAGGACTCTCGGGTATTTCATGGAGGGCAAGTTGGGTGGGGAGCTGGCTGAGGATGGGGTGCAGGTCTATAGGCTGACAGGCACTGGTCCTGGGCAGCAGGAAATAGCATTATGAGAAGGGCATTGATAGTCAAGAGGTACTGTTGTAGGGACCTTCCTTACTGTACAGGGTCACTACCCTGCTGAGGAGCTTCTCATATGGGGGTTGGCAGGAGGACTGTCCACCTGGCCTGAGTCTGTCATTGTATTAATAATTAGCATCCGTACGGAGTGCCAACCACTGTGCTAAGGGCTTTATACTGCTCTCACTTACTCTGATCAGCTGATTCTGGCCCACAGATGTGTTTAGTTTGGCCCTCTCAAAAGTGTTTTAAAAATTCTGAATCATTTGCCAGCATTTTAAGTTCAGGAGATATATGTAAAATTCCAAATCCAGTCTGTGTCCTTTGGGAGATGTGTCTTTCCCAATGTCCTTGGTCTGGTGAGGGGTGAAGCTAGAATTTGAACTTGGCCTCCTTGAATCCAAAGCTGCTGCTTTTATGTTTTGGAATAGCCTGGCTTGAAAGTGCCCTCTTTGCTGGAAATGAAGAGAAATGCAATTAATGTACAGGATTGCAGGAGAAAACAGGTGGGTGCATTTATAGCACCTCTCCTGCTACTCCTACCCCACCTGTGACAGGGCTGGGTTGGCAAGATGTAGGCTAGAGTCAAAGTTCTGTTAAAGTCACCTTTGTTGCACTCAGACCCCAGAGGACAGTGAGGTTGGGCAGCTATTGATGGTGGAGGATTATTGCCCCATTCAGTCTGTGACCTGAGCCACTGGACTGCTTGCACTCTGCTGCACAGAGGCAAGGAAGTCTAAAGGTCAGGAGCATGGTCTCCTGAGTCAGATAGACCTCTTACAAGCACTGTGGTCTGAGCCTCGTTTTCCTTTCCTGCAAAACGGAAGCAACTGTCATGCCCACCAGCACCAAAGGGCTGTTCTGAGGCTTCAGTGAGGTTCCTGTGTACCAGGACACCCTCCTTCCTAAGCAATGACTGCTTAGCAGTTTTAGCCCTCATTGTTCCTGACTCCCCGGCATCCATGCTGCTCACCTTCCTAAGCAATGACTGCTTAGCAGTTTTAGCCCTCATTGTTCCTGACTCCCCGGCATCCATGCTGCTCACCACCAGGCATCTCTCTGTATCTCCACACCCTCTAGAGAGCACTTTGCCTGCACCTTTGGAACTGGGCAGCAAGCAGCTCCAGTGAACCTTCCTGTCATCTTGATCCTGCTGTTGGGGGACATGGGGGTGGAGAGAAGCTCCTGGCTAAGGTGGAGTTCAAGGCAGGAGGGTCCTCCTGGGCACCTCAGAGTTTTGGGTGTCACACCCTACCTTAGACAGTCAATGCTCCCTGGTCTCTGCAGAGTCACAGTATAATAAAGGAAACCCCACAGCTCAGCATGAGCAGACTTGGGGTGTCAGCAGGTGACAGATGGGATTCCGAGTAGGGGTGGGGAGCCTGGCTGACCTGCAGCTGGAATGGGCAGCAGGGCTTTATTCCTACTGACACTTGCTACTTGCCCCTTGCTGTGGGCAGTGAGGCAGCCCTGGTTCCGGACTGACAGGAACATGGTAGAAAGCACTCTGGGCCGCGAACCCCAGGTCTGTTTTCATATTAGGACTTGGCCACTGACTAGCTGTGAGACCTGGGTGGGTTAACAAGCCACTCGGTGTGCTCCTTTCCAAGAGGGGGCAAGAGCAGACTCTGCCACCCAGGACTGTGCAGGATTAGAGGAAGTAGTGGGTGGGAGAGCACTTCCAACAGGCAGGAGCTGACAGGGGCACAAAGGCAGCTCAGTGTGGGCTCAGGGATCAGACCACGTGGATTCAAATCCTAGTTCAGCCAGTCACTAGCAGAACAAGGCACAGAGCCTCCTCAGTAAATAAAGCTAATAGCTCACAACTCACCGGGTTGTTAGGAGCATAAGGTAGCGTGGGTAGGGGAAAGAGCTCAGTATGGGCAAGTAGCCCTTATTAACTTGAAGTTAAATGCTGTAGTGGAGATAAAGTTGGTTCATACTTTCATCTGAAAAAGGACATTGTGGCGAGGGAGGGCAGCTCAGCCCAGAACAGTCACCCTGGGCCTGGTGTGTCTCAGGGACCCAGCTTGAAGCCTGCCCCCACCCGATTTCCACACCCCTCTGGCTACTGCTTTCAGGATGTGTTCTCGGTGCTGTCTGGGCTGGCTTGACCATCAGCTCAGATAACCCAGTCCTCCTGGAAGAACAAGTCTTATTTCCTCTGCCCTTCCTCCTCAGCAGGGCACCACTTGTAACTTGCAGGTGGGAGTGGATTCTCTGGTGGGCCTGAGTTTCCTTGAGTGGAAGCTGGGCCGGGCGGGTCCTAGTCACTGTTCATTCTGGGGCTGCTAACCTCTATGTTGTCTTTGACCAGACTCTTGTTTGCCTGAGGCTCTGGGCTCAGTAGGTGGGAGATGTGGCCCCCTCTCCCACCCTCAGGGTCCCAACAGGTGGGGTGGGCAGAGGGTGAGGCTGGCTGAGGTGAAGACTAGGGCATGGTCTTGTTCTCATTCTTTCTTTGCAGCAAGGTGAGTGTGGGGCAATTTTCTGAGAGGTTGAGGATTTCCCAAGCTGCCTGTGAGTATAATGGGGCCTGCCTTTTGTTGCAGATGGAAGAGAAGAGGCGAAAATACTCCATCAGCAGCGACAACTCTGACACCACTGACAGTAAGGCCTTCCATTTGGGGCTTCTACAGAAAAGCATTTGAATAATTATCAGGTCCACAGGCCCAGATTTGGGGGACACTGCCCCATGGTCTCCATGTGGATGAAAGCATAAATCAGGCCAGGTCCCTCTGCTCCTAAGAAAGTCCCATACCAAACCACATGGCCTCCAGGGCCTTTCTGTCCTCTTCACTCTACTCCCTTCTACCCTCTAGCTCTCAGCTCCATGTGTTTTGCTCCAGTTGGACCAGATGAACTCCCCTCTGGGCCTTTGCATATGCTGTTCCTGGCTACCAGGAACACATCCCTTTCCTTCTGGCCCTCCTGTTGAGTCAGGGTCCTATGGAAGTGTCCACATAACAGAGAAAACCTGTCACTTTTTATTATAATTACCTGACAAGTATTATTTCCTAACCACTGGTAAGCTCCTTGATAAGAGGGATCATGTCTTGCTGACTGCGGTATCCCTCGAGATCAGGCACATAATAGGTGATGAGTAAATGTTTGCTGAAGAAATTAAATGAAGGAGTCTGACTTTCATGGGATCTTGGCAATAAAATCTCAGGTAGATTTGTGTGTGGGCTGGGTGTGTCAGTTGGATATCTGGGTGGGGGACATTGTCATGTAGAAAATGGGGGGAGAGAAGGGAAGTTTGTGTCAGAAAACAGGGTTTTTTCTCTGATACTAGAAGGCAGCTCTTCTCAGATGCCCCAGGAACCCAGGCCTGTGTGAGCCAGTTGAAGTAAAGAGTTCCATTCTGCCCTGTGTAGGAGAGATACACTGCCAGGAAGATCCCAGCTAGCTGTGCACCCTGGTGGAAGCCCAGGCTGAGGAAGAGACTGCACTGCCAGGGAGGCCGGGCCTGGAGCCCTGCAACTACAGACCTCAGTTTGTTCACATATGTGGTGAGCAGCTGGGATTAGGGAGCTCTCCAAGGCCCCTTAGAGCTTCAGGAGTTCTACAACCCGCCAGTGCCTGAGGACATGTGCGCTGGGATGAGAAGTCAGGTTCCAGCCCTTCCCTCCCTCCAGGTTTCATTCACTGTCCCTTGGGGTCTGTTTGCTCAACTTGGCTCTGGTATCTGACCTGGCCAGCCCTTCCTCCCTGTGGCAGTAGATCACAGTATCTGGCCCTCTGTGGCTGCAGCCACACTGCCTGTGGCCTGTCTCAGTAGAGCCAAGAACTGTATCCACTGCTTCTAAGTTTATTGCAGGCAAAGGAACCCTTGAAGGCCAGGTACCTGCAAGGGTGAGCATCTGGGCAGCTGAGCCCTGTTATCTGCATCAGAGTTGGGCCAGGCTGAGGCAAACACCCTTCCCACCAGTCCCTACCACTACCCACCCATGGCTGCTGCTCCTCTGACCTGTTGGGGTGGAGGCCACCCTGAGTGTAATCTGTGAGGGCCTTTGGACCCTCATGGTAATAGGTAATGTTTATTGAGGCAGCGCTGTGTGCCAGGGATTGTGCTTAGACTTTACAGGCGTGATGTCATTTAATTCTCACAACAACTCTTTGAAGATAGTTATTCTCTTACCCTCATTTTATAGAAAAGCAAACCGAGGCTCAGAGAGACTCATTTACCCAAGGTAACAAGATAGTAAATGGCGAGCCAGGGCTCAAGCCCAGTCTGTGGGTCTGCTTTAGAGCAGAACTCTTCCCACTGCCCTGTCTTGCCTCTGTATACTCAATGGAGATCATCCCAGTGTCTGTTCTGCAGTGGGGGTGGAGAGTGGCCATGGAAGACTTATTATATCCCTCTTTTACCAAGGAGGAAGCAGAGGACCAGAGAGGGTAAGGGACTTGTCATGAATTACACAGCAAACTAATACTAAGTTCTTGTCCAACTGCCTTTTATCTCCCAAGCCTCTTCTGGTTGATGAGTGGAGGTTTCATGTCCCCATTCATCATTGAAGAGGCCCAGAGAAGGGACAGTCCACCAGGTGCTCACAGAGGTCGGCACCTCCTGAACATTCAAGGCAGAGCTTTACTTACAGACTTCCTTTCCTTGGAGATGGTTGGGTGGTGTTCCACGCCTTCCAGGGGGCCCCTAATGGGCTGTGCTCTCTCTGCAGGTCACGCTACATCTGCGTCAAGATGCTCCAAACTGCCCAGCAACACCAAATCGGGCTGGCCCCGGCAGAACGAAAAGAAACCCTCAGAGGTGGGTAGTGATAAGTGTCCTGGAGAAAGAAGAAACGGAAGTGGAGAGGGGACAGGAAGAGAGACCTGTGGAGAGGGAGGGCTCTATGGGGGAAGAGCATTCCTGAAGAGGGCACAGTCATTGCAAAATGACACCGGTGTCGCTGAATGGAATGAATGAGAGGACGTGGTGGGGGTGCCACTTCTCATAGCCTTATAGTTGTTGTAAAAATGTTCCCATCAATCTGAGTGAGAGGAGCAGCCTTTCAAGGATCATAAGCCAGGTAATAACATAGTCTGCAGTTTTAATAAAAGGTCCCAGTGGCTGCTTTGAGGAGAAGGGAATATGAGAGGCGAGGGTGGGAGCAGGGAAGGTGTTTCGGTAGTTGTCTAGGAGAACAGTGGTGGCTTAGAGCTGGGTGATGGCAGTGGAGTAAGAAGCGGTAAAATTTGGGACATTTTGGAGACTGGATTTGCCAAGGGTGACAGGATTTGCTGATACAGAGGTGAAGGATGGAGTCCTCAGAATCATCCAGTTGGGGCATCCACTCCTTATTATGCTCATTTCACATGCACCAACACCTTAAGCCTTCCTTACTTTGACCAGGGATGTTTCTTGTGGCAGGTAGAGGTGTTTATGGCCTCTAGAGCTGTGGAGAAGAGCATGGAGGGTGGGTAGAAAAATGGACATGCAATCTTGCCTCCTGCAGCCCCTGAAAAATCACATCCTAGGGTCTCAATGCTCTCTCCGCATTTTCAATGCACTGCACCAGGTACAGAAGAGACCCTTGGCACAAACGAGGCTGCAAGGGCATTGAATGCCCAAAAAGGGGGGTTTTGAATCTGCCTCTTAAGAGAAACTTTGTGCTGCAGCCCACAGAGTAGCCAGACACTGGTCTGAACACTACTTTTTTAATCCTTAAAACTAGCCCAGAGTTCTAATTTTTTCTATTATAATAAGGAAACTGGAGGTCCCAAGGTTATATAGCCAAGATGTGAAGTTCTTGGGGCCAACAGTGCCAGGGTGGGAAGGCTCAGAGTTCTGGGCCGGGCACTTGGCATGGGTTGAGGGAAGGTATCTTTGCTCTGAGTCTGCCTACCTCCTCTCCTCACCCTCACCACAGGGGCAATCCTGGGCTGCTGTCATTAGCCAGCCGCTAGGGAGGTCTTCTGCAGAACCTAGCATTTGAAAAAGGATTCCCCGCCTCCTCCAAGAACTGGCCTACCCTGGACTCTCCCTTGGTGTGTGTGTGTGGTGGGGTGAGGGTGCACTTTTGAGACCTAAAGCTTCCCATTCCCACCCCCCAACCTAGTGCCCTCCCTTGGCCCTATAGGGGAGGGTTGGAGATGGAAGGAGGTATCTCTAGGAATGCAGTAAGGACTGGAACGAAGGCAGCGAGTGAGGTGGGCATGGGAGGATGCTGTTCTTGAGGCTCTCAGTATCCTCCTGGTCTAGCCCTGCTCAGTGGGTGGAAGGGATGTGCTCAAGAGCACTGGGAAAATCAACTATACTGCAGTAAAAGGAGAAAAAGAGCACTGGGAAGTGGGAGGCAGTGTGCTAGGACCCTGGGAGCCCCTGAGACCACTCCTCCACTCTTCCACCCCACCCTCTTCTTAAGATCTACAGGGGTTCCCAATTACTACTAGGGTTGAATTAGTAAAACAATAGCCACCTTTCGTGCCTTTCTGGTCCAGGGAGGCAGGAATTCTCCAGATGGGCCTCTGAGAATCCCACCTGCCCCCTGCTTTCAGGGGTTATTCAGATAGGAGAAGAGTGGGGAAGTTCTGGGGAGCTCCTGCTGCTGGCTTAGTCTCTTCCCCTGACTCTCCTCCAAGCACCAGCGGAAGGAGGGGACTCCTCTCTGGGTAGAGAGCCCAGGGGCAGAGCTGCCATCTACACCCGCCTTAGGATAGGCAGGCAGGCTGGGAGAAAACAGGTGTCAAGCAAATGTAGAGGTGAAAGAGTGATTTGCATGGGGCTGAAAATTCCCCTGCCTCTTGGGTTTTCCAGTGTAGGGCCTTTGAACCTTTCCCCATCTAAAAATAGTGTCAGAGCATTGCAAGGGTGTTGATCCCCAGCCCTGCTGAGGACTGGCTATGCACCCTCCTGGGTTGAAGCCCAAGACCCTCCTCAGTGGGCTCTGAGTCTTGACTGGGCACACCCGCCCTCAAGCACTGGGCTCCTGGAGGGCTGAGGAATCCTTCCCCGCCTTGAACTGTTGCCAAGGACAAGCTTTTCCTCCCACAGCAGCCTGGAGAGCAGCCTGAGAGGTTTCCCTTGTCCCCTAAGTGAGGAGGCTGAGCCGTAGCCGGCATAAATTCCAAGTTATCGTGGGGCAGAGAGGAAACCATCAATGAAAGCTTCCAAATTATTTGGCTCATAAGAAGGCAGAGATGAAAGCAAGGATTTGGCGGCAGATGATGTTTGTACTAAATCTCCTTACTAGGCTGTCCCTTCTCTTTCTGTGCTCAGGCTGGAGAGAAACGCCTTTGTAGTCTGCTGGGCCTCGGGGCTGAGGGCTTTGGACACCCTGGTGAAAGGGGGTCTGGAGTCCCTTCTGCTCAGTCCCCAAAGCAAGAAGCCTGTGCGGTGGTTTTCAGGCTGCTGACACGATCTCCTCTCAGTCTGGCCTGAGTTCCCAGCCTCAGTGCTTGCAAGTCGATCCATGTGGTGCAGGAGCCCCTTACTGGTGGCTACAGACCCAAAGGACCCATGGTTTCCTTCCTCTCCTCTACCTTGAAGGTGGACAGTGATGGGTGGGGATTTCAGGACCAGGAGTACTTAGCATGGCAGCAACACTGGTACGTAGAGCAGCTGCCAGCAATGGAAAGCACTAGGGTTGGGTTGAGGCAAGACTGGCGGGCCTGCCCCTGGGATGACCTTGGCACTCTGAGGGTACAAATCAAGGGGCACTCTCTACACCAGAGGGAGGTACCCCCAGCTGGAACAAAGTGCTGTGACAAGGAGTCAGGACCCTGGACAGGGCTGAGGCCTCGAGGCCCAGCTTCCCTTCTGGCCCTTAACTGGTGGGTGGCCTCCCTCAGCCTGAGTGAAAGGGGAATGCAGGCCTTGGTACTGGGAGTACAGGACAGGCCCTGGGATTCCTGAAATGCCGGGTTAGGATTTTTAGTGAAAGTGCACAAAGTCTGAAGTTGTCCCAGGATCCTCTTTGGCAGTGCAGGGAAAAGGTGGGGCTGACCCCAGGGACACAGGCTGCTGCCTTCCTCTGCTTGCCAGCAGGATCCCAACAAAGCTGAAATGTGTCCTTTGGGGCTTAAGTCAGCCAAGCCAGTTCTGAAGAAGAGGAAGGGATTAGCCTCTCCTGGAGAGGTGGTATTAGCCTATAAACCATGCCGAGGCCTTGGGTTTCCGATCTGGCCTGTCTCACCAGATAGCATGACCGTAACTTTGTGGGTCATCTCTGAGAGCCTGGTGGAGATGACAGAACAGAGATTATTTTTTAAATACCAATACCAGACCCCCATCCCACCTCATCCCCAAGAATTCTGATTTGAATAGTCTGGACTGGGGCCCCAGGTAAGTGTAGTTTTTAAGAGCCCTCCTGCTGGAAGCCAGGGTTAAGAACTACTGCCATAGACCTTTCCCTGATCTGCTAAGACAGGAGTTTCTGGCTTGGTCCTCCCTGGAAGACCCTGAGGTTGAATGAGGGAGGGGAGGCCTTCCAGCCTGGTTCAGTGACCTAAGCAAAGGCAAGGAGTGTGGGTGGGGACATCCCCCACCTCACCCCTTCTCCCACAGTGGCTAGGATACTGACAGGTTTCTGCCAAGCCTTTGGCCTGGCAAGGGTGTGAAGGGCAGTTCGGGAAGAGATCCAGAGGCTAGCCCTGTGGTTTGGAGGCTGCTGTTTGAGGCTATGTCTCCCTCAGACCTGGGGCAGAGAGGCAGATGGACAGACAGACCAGGAAGTGAGGGTTTCCCCCAGGGAGGCTGTCCTGAGGCAGAAAGCTGTGTTTTCAGGGAGTCAGAGTCCCTAGGAGTCGGTCACTGGCAGGGACATGGGCTTTTAGGATCCTAGAACTACTGATAGTGATTAAACTCAGCAAACACTTGAGAGCACCTACTGGGTCCTGCCTACTGTAGGGGCACAGAAAATACAGGCTGTGTCCCTGGGGAGCTTGTCGTCTGACTGTTAGCAGGACGCAGGTGCTACACAGGAAGGTGTCCGTTATGAGAAGTGCAGCCAGCTTTACCACTAAGGAGCTCTGTGAGCTTGGGCAAGTCAGTTTCTGAGCCTCAGGGTCATCATCTGTAGAGCCCTGCTCTGCACCCTGCCATGCAGTTTCTGTTCTGTAGATGTGACTGCCTTGTCCTGAGGCCTGTGGAGCCTGGGGATTAGGGAGATCCCAGAAGTTAGTGGAGGTGAAGCTGGCCTCCTTGAGATGGAAGCCTGGATAGGTCCAGGACAGGGTAGATATACCCCTAGATGAGAGAATGGGGCCTCTCTCAGGTACCACGGCAGTCCTTCACCAGTGCCCAGTCTCTCGCCCCTGGGACAAGGCCTAGGAGAAAGAGGTGACCCTTGTGATTAGCCTCTGCCACCGTGCCACCGGTGGGGTGTCTTGCCGAAGTTCTGTCTGTGGAAGTTCCTATATACAGATGGCCTTCCCTTGGAAAAAGCAGCAAGTGAGAGTGAGAGTGCAGCTTATCTGCTTGAACCATTGCTTTTAGTAATGGGCCCCTTCTACTCTGGGTGAAGGCAGGGGTGGCCAGATTGTGTTGGGGTGCAGAACTAGAGGATAAATAAGATATGTTCCTGGAAGAGCAGATATATTATCCAGATGTTCAAACAATATATTTTATATTAAAACAATGTTGGCATATGTTGTAGTAAAATACAAAATGCTCACAAACTTGAGAGATAAAACAGGAGACTCCCAAGAAAAGTTTTTTTGCTTGCCCCTGTGGTTTCAAGCCCTGTTTCTAGCCACCAGTTCCTCTGCTACCCTGGGAGGTGGGCAGGCAGTAAGAGAGAGCCCTTCCTCTGGGCTAAGCGCCTGCTT